AAACCCCAAAACCCCAAAACCCCATGAAATGCTATTAGCTAATTCAATTATTAACTTAAAAAATTTAATAATGGTAACTGGGCAATAGCAGAATTATTCAAATAATCTCAAGGTGACTGCTTGTATACTCTAGGCATCATCATCAATCCTCATTAATGTAGTCAATAAAACTTTATACCAAGATTATCATTTTGAAAGTCCTTTAGTTGTAAATATTTTGAGCTGATTATTTAGTTGCTTCTCATTTAAAGCATTTGTGGATTGATTTTTTGCTTGATAATGATTACTGTCAAATCTTACAACAATTAATCTTTTCAAGTATTGGAGTCTTATGGCTTTAAAGTATCCAATTTCTCAGAAGTAAAGTAGAAAATAGGCATTGCTTTTAACTTAGGGACCTTTAATTTGATAGTATCACTATTTGGGTTATATTCTGTTAAGCATATGAGCATTCCAATGTAAATTTCAAAGATTTTTTCCGATACTAAACGTTTCTTACTAGGTATTTGACATTCAGAAGATGTGCTGTTCTGAGCACAATGATCTCAGCTTGGTTAATTTAAAGGACATTACCACATAATAACCTTTATTCCTCAATTTTTATGGTTGTTATTGGTGCATTAGTAGCTGGTGTAAAATATATATATCATAACTTTTTAAGTTTGACAGTTTTGAAACCTAATGGTTTGGCTATATTCTAGTTTGGGCCAATAATTTTTCTCAGTCATTTTACAACATTTATATGAACAAAGCAAAGAGACAATACAATCTAACTCCTCTAGGTAAATTCTTCTTTTAAATACTTCCAGAATTGAATTTGTTCTTTTCCATTGTGTCTATTCCTATACTGGGAGGGCTGGCAATGTATAGAGATGAAATCAAATTAATTACAATTCCTTTAGCCACTTTTGATAGTGAAAGAATTATTGGCTTTTATGTGTATATTTCTTTATCTGGATTATTAGGCATATGCCTGACTCTATTTGTAACATTAGCTTACCAAGTTTGCGATCCAATGACAGTGAATGTTGTAGGAGTCTTTAAAGATGTTTTGTAAGTATAGAAAATCTCTCTCAATATACTAAAATAGGCTGACTTACATTGGGTTCGTCTTATTCTCAGATCAAAAAAATTCCATTAATTTTCTATTGGGGATATTCTTAAGTTTTTGTGGAGCATCAAACTATATTTATCAAAATTATAGGTTGTCTCAGCCAAAAACAAAAACTATATGAATTAATTAATACGATTTAATTTTCTGCAAAAATTCAAAGACTTTGGGGTTTTGGGGTTTTGGGGTTTTGGGG